ATTACATCCTTGTATACTAGTTAACTAAATAGATGAAACATGATAAATATTTAAAAAAATAAATAAATAAATAAAAATATAATAATACAGACACTGAGGGGGTTTCAGCTCTTTAACCCCCCTCCTGCGAACGCCACTATAGATATATGATAGATATATGACTATTAAACAAATTGGAAAAGAATATTTGTGTGTATTTATGTGTAGATGTTAATAATATTTAGCCCGTTGAGTCAACTTCTTGAAGAAAGCATAACCATTAATAACTGTAYAATTAATAATGTTTTTTTTAATCAAAAAGTTTAGTACTTATTAATAATTAGACTATACTATACACTACTACCGTTAAAATTAAACTTAATATATTCGAATGAATAATGATTATAAACGAACTGCAGAGTGTCGACTGGATTTCGTTTTATTCAAACTCGAATTCTAATGTTCGTATGTCAGAATCCCCTTGCTTTACTATACAGGTGTAGAGTTGTTTTGGACTCTGTCATTATTTATGTTCTGTACTGCCCATCGTTAGGAGAATATGGATCATTGATATTATATAATATGATAATATAATACTCTTTGAACATAATATAGAGGTTTTTTCAACATTATTGTGTATTTTTTTTTCGTTTTAATTTTATTTACTCGGTTTATACAAAATACAGACGAAATAACCATGATTGGAGCAATGCCTGCTGTGGCCGTCCGCCACGAGCGGCGGAGGCAGGAGAAAAAAGTGGTATGCGCGAATAATCTGAACGCTGGTGACCGGGAAGGCACATCAAACACCACTGGAAACCGGAGACCGAGTCTTTTAACACTGCAGTCACCGCATTCTCAGACAGGCACACCGATCACGTCTCCGCCGTACATCCAAAACACACTGCCAGATATCTATGTCTGCTCAAAAGTAAGCCCACCACCTCTCGCACATACCCCCACCCACCCGAAAAGGTCAACAATATGTAGTGCATTTGGGTGTTATTATTCAGGCGAATATTCTGGTCAATATTGTGTATCATCCAGGCGGCCAGATACTATTAAATTAATTTAGTACTACTTTGTCCTAAAACTATGTTTTTATAAATTCTTAATCCACAGAGCCACAGAGGCTCTGAATTTTTCTCATAACCATTTAAATTTCTTAAAAAGCAGTAAAATGTTTGTACCCTGTAATCTGCATTATAATTTATTTACTATAGTATGTATAGTTATATACTGTAAAAATGCATATAATATGGACTTTAGTGTCCTATTGGTGTAGTATATATAGTGGAACCTCGATAACTCGGTCCTCTATAAGTCGAATTTTCAATAACTCGAATTTTTTTCGCCCCCTGCCGATTCGAGTTATCGAGGGTCCACTGTATTATATAATACCATGTCTACGCGAAGGCATGCTTAGTGATTTCGGATAGAGTGAGTCGATCGAAAATCCCGTTCGATTATTATTACCTATATTATTCAATCATGTCGTAATATTCTATGCGTGTAAATCGATCATATTTTTATTCTAGTAAAAACAGAACAGGCGAAACATAATAATATAGGTACAGTATGTACACAATAGAAAAACATACAAATACAAATTTAATTAGTTAAATGCGCAATAAATTTTCATTTTAAATAAAAAAAAAAAAAAAATATTTACAATAATAACATTATGTATAAAAAAGTGTCCATAATATTAGTTAGAATAAAAGTTATTACATACTGTACCATCGCAAAGGATATTTTGTTATCCTGCGGTCTGCAGTTAAAATTTCTGTACCTATAGTATTATTATTATCAATGTTATTATCTATAATAGCTTATAAGATTTTAATATATTATTATACCTACCTAATTGAAATAATATTTAAAACATCATTAGACGTACGTAAGTATATTATGGTGTATCATATACGCATGCGAATGAACGTATATATAAGATGATAAAAAGTATTACTTTTTGTCCTTTTATCTTCTTTCATGTTATATTTTTTTTAAATCTTTTATTGCTATTTGGTTTCGAACAAATTACGTGAATCGAATAATAATAAAAAAAAATTATTCGGTCTTCGTTGCATCACTTTTTTATATGTTGTAATATTATTAGTCATTAATTCATTATTTTTATTTTTGCTTTATTTATTTGTTTTTGCATTTATTATTTTGTTTTATGTTCTATTTATGTTCACCAGGGTATATATAAAAAAAATACTGCATGAAATAGAGCCATTTCGGTCGATCCGAGCGGGACAACAAAGGTACTCGTTTACAATAATATGATACTTGCGAATTCTACACGAGAAATTGTTTATTCGTCTGGCCGATTCGTAAACGTGTGTCTCAAATGCCGTACGGATATGTTTGCCACAGGTGTCCGTGCTGCACATAGCCGTGGTGACCATACTGATCGGGGCCATACTTCTGATCGTCGGGCTCGTTCAGCTGAAGCCGGGCGCGGACGCGTCTCAGTACAAGTTCGTATTGATCTTCTACGGTCTGATCACCACGATGGTCGGCATCCTCACGGCCATGGTCCGGTGCTGCCTGCTGCCGTGGGTCACCAAACGTCGGCAGAGAAGGTCCACCCCGTCAACGCCGGGCATGCTGTTGACCRCGTAGTGATTGTGAAGACGTAAGACGATCGAGATTTCTGCTTATCCGCCTAACACACACACACACACAGGCCCYTCACATCATCATCATTTTGGCCCTGGTACAGAACTAAATCCGAGCCCCGAACATGTTATAAATATATAATATATTGAAGTAATTTTGAAGTAATTATTTGCATGAACGGCGGGCCCCTAGAAAGTCCGGGCCCAAGTACCATGGGTCTTTCTAACCCCCCCCCCCTCTCACACTGACTAATAGTGGTCCTGCACACCCATGCATACACACACGTTTGTTGGTGACACAAGTCACGTATTATGTACAGACAAAAATTTGTTATTTAATTTTTACTCTTTGACGCTGGTATCGATACATTCGGTGAATACATTAGACATATAAATTTAATAGAAGATAATATTTATTATGTGTGTAAGAAACGCCGAAAATTTATACAGGTCTTATAGTGTACTCGATACCATAAATCAGTTAAATTGTGATTGGTTCTAGTGTGTGGTAAATTAGTTGCATTTTTTGCTGTCTCTATATACTATTAATTATATATTATACACACAGTATAATATACAGCACACAAACACACAYTATACAATGGTCTGTGATTTTAACTCTCACCGATATCGTTTGACGACCGGTCTGAGTAGTGAGTTTATTAAGATATCATACCTAGTAGGGAAATTCAAATATGAATGGTTTTGTCTTTTCATTTTAAAATTGTAAACTGTGAACTCTTTAGTTTTTGTTCTGTTGTTTATGATTTTCAATCTCATATTTTAGTATCCACAATAAATAATCCAAAATAGTGCTTGTAATCAATTATTAATTACTAAATAGGTGTGTTATTCATTTTGATATTGTTTATACCTATTATTTTACATATATTTTTAAGGTGTTTTGGGACCAATATTGTKAAACATAAAACAAACATTTCTGGATAAGTCAGTCCGATTAACATGCTACATATCTCTAAATAATTTTTACCACAAATAAGCAATGTATACACTATAGTTTTAATTTTTTGAAATCTGGGTTTTAATTTTAATTTTATAATCGTTATACCTGCAGTTTAAGTTCTATATTAAATTATAAAAACTTCATTTAGTTAATGTTAAATTAATTAATAAATTATGTTTAATTCCACGTTAATGTAGAGGCACCAATAATTGTGACTTTGTTAGTTTTTGGATTTATGCCGTAACTTTTGAAGTCTTCCATTATAATTTATTATCCTATGTGTTATGCATATATTATTTTAATTGACTGACCTTTAACAAAACTGACCAAAGTATAATTTAACCATTTAATCAAAAAAACTGTAATGTCCTAAATCAAAATATAGCACCACTTTTATAATTCGCTCAAATTTAAATTAAATAACTTATTCTATGTTATTGGCCAACTTAATTTGTATAAAAAACTTAAGAAAGAATTATTATTAAAGTTCACAACATATTTAGTAATTTTGTTAGTATAATTTTGACGTACACAATCTCACAATCTGACTTGCAAAACAAAATTAAAATAATCTTGAATCTTATATCAAAGGTATTTTCTATAAATACAAAAAAATATACTGAAAATATTTAAGTGTTGGATACTTAATTTTATAAAAATGTATTAGTATTTTATAACTGTTAAATTTTTTTTATATATAGGTATATACTTGTAGAATCATTAGCTATCTCTAATTTTTTGAGTTACACAAACAGAGTGATTATTAAAAAGGTTTAAGAATACACATTCACTATTTAAAAATGGGGCAATAATTGTTTAGTTCATATGCTTAACCCAATTTGTGAAATAGCCCAATTATGCAATGAGAAACAATAAATACTGCTCATTTCATGAATTAAGAAGCAAGCAAATATTTACTATAGATCCTACATTAATATTTTACTTAATAAAGTTTTCTAGAACTAATATTATAATATGTATATAAATACTCTCATGTTATAATATTTCAAAGATGTATACAAGAAATTTAGTAGGTTTAAATACTTATAATTTACGTGTTAAAAATTAATTTTGGATTGCAAAGATAAAT